AGTAGTAGTAGTAGTAGTAGTAGTACCGCCCCCACGCCCCCCCTTTGATTTGACCCCGATACCTCTCTTCTTCACTCCTCATTCTCGTCGTCCTCCTCGTCGCCATCGTCGCCGCCCTCGTCGTCCTCGTCGTCGTCTTCGCCGCAAAAGGTTTCCATTGGAATGCCCCACAACGGGACCCATTTAGAAAACATCCCAAAGGGATTCCAATGGAATGCCTCACAACAGGAATCCGTTAGAAACCGCAACAAAGGGATTATATAGGAAAGCGCCACACAGGGGCGTGGAAAGCGAAGACCAAAAAAAAAAAAAAAAAAAAAAAAAAAAAAAAAAAAAAAAAAAAAGAGAGAGAGAGAGAGAGAAGAGAGAGAGAGAGAGAGAGGAGAGAGAGAGAGAGAGAGAGAGAGAGAGAGAGAGAGAGAGAGAGAGAAGAGAAGAGAGAGAGAGAGAGGAGAGAGAGGAGAGAGAAGGGACCCCCCCCCCAAAAAAAAAAAAAAAAAAAAAAAAAAGCCCCCCCCCCCACCACCACCACCACCCCCCCCCCCCCCCCCCCCCCCCCCCACCCCCCCCCCCCCCCCCCCACACCCCACCCCACCCCACCCCACCCACCACCACACCACACCACACACACAACACACACACACACACACACCGCACACACACACACACACACACGCACACTGCCCCCCTTCACAATGCGTCTTGATTTTGGTGTTTTAAGCTTGGTCGGTTGTTCCTTGTGCTGTTTTTGGTGTTCCAGCCGTCGGTATTCGATGTATTTGGTTTTTTTGTTGTTCATGTTTTTCAGGTTTCCCTTTACATTCACATATATATATATATTGGAAAAAAATGATTTTTTCGCCCCCCACATTTTCCTCGGGGAGCGGGCGGCGGGCGGGGGGGGGCAGGAGGAGGCGGGGAAAGAGGGCGCGCGCGCGTGCGGAGGAGGGGGGGGGGGGGGGGCGGGCAGGGGAGGGGTGGGAGGGGGAAGAGGAGGACGAAGAGGATCACCCATCAAAGGAGCCCAGGAGGGAACCCATGAGGAGACCCACCAGGGAACCCAGGAAGGGACCCAAGAAGGAACCCAGGAGGGGACTCAGGAGGGCAACCCAGGAGGGACCCAAGAGGGAACCCAGAAAGGGAGGGGACCCGGGAGGGGCCCAGGAGGGACCCAGGAGGGGACCCAGGAGGGACGCAGGAGGGGCCCAGGGGACCCAGGAGGGACCCAGGAGGGGACTCAGGAGGGAACTCAGAAAGGGACCCAGGAGGGAACCCAGGATGGGAACCGAGAAAGGAATCCCGGAAGGGGACTCAGGAGGGAACCCAAGAAGGGGCACCTGGCTCCCTCCACGGAACCACAACCATATCCACAACGGAACCAACAATTTCTCAAATGCCTTCCGTGCGAAAGAAAAAAGGACAACGGGATGAAACGGAGGAAGGTGGCCATGGCCGCGGGGCATCCATTTTTTGGATGCAGCTCTCTACCGCATGAACGCCCAGGACCGAAGGCGGCGGCAACGACGCCACGCAGGCAGCCGCCAGTTGGGCAACCCAACAAAATGCGTGACCCGCAAATCGCCCGAAAACAACGCCACGTAGCTGCACGCGTTCGGACGCGCACCTTGGGGTGCTGAAAGCCAGCTTCTGGACTGAAAGCGCACGGGCCCTGTGGTGCACACATGCGCTGCAGTGTGTGGTGGCTTTGTGGTGCAAGGAGGCACTGAGTGCGACAGTGGTATTGCGGAGCGCACGGCCGATGCGAGACGCGACACTCGTTGTGGCGTTGACGTCTCTCATGTGCACTTGGCTGCTGCCGCGCAAGCGGGCGCAAGGGACCGTTCGCGCAGCAGTGTGCGTTATGCGGCATTCCTCAGATCGTAGCTGTTTTGGGCTCAAGATCAGCAACGCGTTTGCGCCCTCTGGCTAACTTGCCGCGCCGCTCCAGGGCGTGACATGTCCGCGTGCGAGGACCTGAAGACGGCGTTCTTCCTCATCTGCGCATGGCGCTTGGCGGCCATCTTGGTCAAGGCCGCCCCCAAGCTCTTGATCCCGATCTTCTCGGTCTTGGCGAACTGCTTAGCGATGTGGTTGGTCCTCGTGTGCAGGATGCCAGCGGCCTTTGCCTTCTTCTTGTAGATCTGCGCGCCATCGGTGTTAAGCAGGCAGCCCTCCCGATCCATCTTCGCCATTGCAGGGGCGACGTCCTCGGCGTCCTCGGGCGGAGGCGGCGCGCCCTTCTGCACGGCCGCGTCCTTCGCAGGGAAGACCACGCGCGTGCCAGTCGCGCGATCCACAGCCATGGTCCCGCGGCCCACGTGCACGTTCTGGGTGGCGCTGCCAGCGCGGCGGACGGAGCAGGCGAATGCGTCCATCCCCACCTCGCCAGTGGAATGCTCGAAGTTGTCGGCAGTTTGCATAGACTTCCACGCAGCGGCCTCCGCGACGCGCAGCGTGAGCAGCTCGACCTTCTTCCTGGACGCGCCAGTCACGCGGTGAGTCTGCGCCTGGTCGGGCCCGCAACCAGTCGCCCAGATGCAGCCGTAGTAGTCCGCGGTCGTCAGGCTCGCGTTCAGCAGCGGTGTAAATGCCGACGCGCTCACGGTGCAACGGCACGATTTGACCCAGCATCTGAAGTCGCCGTTCTCCTGCTCAACCATGTCGTTTCCGCACTTCCAGCACGCGCGGTCGGCCTTGGGCGGGATGCACCCAGCCGCGCGCAAAGCACGGTCCACGTCCGCGTCGCTCATCACCGCCACTTCGGCGAACGAGGGCATCTCCACGGAGAAAAGTTTGCTCTTGTGCGAGGTCGGCACCATGCGACCACCCTCCGGCACCGCCGGCGGCAAGTAGGGCACGCTGGACGCCTTCTTCTGGGGGGCCGCGGACGGCTTCTGCATGGGGGCTGCGGACGGCTTCCGCATGGTGGGCGCGGCGGCGGGCCTCTTGCGCGGCGCCTCCTTGCCCGCCCTGCGCGCGCCCCTGCGCTGGGGCCGGGGCCCCTCCCCCATGGCGGCAGCGCGCGTCGCGCCCAGGGGCGGCGGGAGGTGGTGGAGGAAAAAGATGTTCAAACAGGCGAGCCAAAAAGCTGCGGGCAATCGCACTTGCAACGGCGTGCGGGCGCTGCGTATAACAACCGCTGGAAATGGCGGCAGCGGCGGCCGGTGCGAACATGTCCATGGACCATGGATGCGCGAGCAGGCGGGAAGGACGAGGGCGAAGCAAGAGGGGCAGCGACCAGCGCGACGGCGACGTCGGCGGCGACGATGACGACGACGACGACAGCGACGACGGCACAGGGGGCCAAAACGACTGGGCGACATGTTTCCGCCTCAGACAGGCAATGGAAATTCATGGGTGTGCATGTGTGAGTCCAGAAACCGATATGTTCATAAGCGAGCTGCTGAGGGGCGCTGGGGGCCCATCTGGGGCGCGGCGGCATTCGCACCCATGCGAGCGCGAGCGCGGCCGTCCGCTCACGAAGGAGTCACCCCGAGGAAGTCCGCTGCGTCCGCCTCCTCACCCAGGTCAGGGCCAACGCCATCTGCGCCCAACATCTGCGAGAGGTCGGCCTCAAGATCGCCGCGGGCTGGGGCGGCGGGAGCAAACGACGAAGACGCCGCCACAGCCTGCCGCTTCGCGGGGGAAGGTGAGCTGTCGATGTCGAGCGTCCCCGAGAAGGAAGCCAACGTCCTGAACCTCCTTGTCTCGGGGGACTTCACTTCCCTCTTCACCGCGATCTGGGCGCGCGCCGCGATCTGGGCGCGCGGAGGGGCCGCCGTCGCCTTTGCCCTGACTTTGAAAGCGTTGTCCACGAAGGTATGCTCCTTCTGCAACAACTCTTCAATGTTTGGCGGCGCCGTGAGATCCCCCGTCTTCCACAGCCCGTGCAGCCGCTTGCCCTCTGCGGTTAAGTACTCGTCAAGGCCGCAGATCGACTCGCGCTGGACGTCGGCCTCCTGGGTCCCTGGGGCGCGCCAGTACGCGTGATCCGTCGTGTTCACCAGGACCCCCCCGCGCTTCATGAACGCCATGACGCAAGCGCGGGAGGCTTTCCCGTGGAAGGCTGGTCTGACGAGGTTGAAGAAGTCGTCGAACTTCACGGAAGGCCAACAGTCATTCTTCACCGCACTGGGGTCGTATATCTGGTCACCGATGGCACGCGGCTCGCCCTCGACCCACTTGGTGGCCCCCAACGAACCCAGCACGTGGACTCGAACTGGCCGAAGTCCATCAGTGCCTTGACCATTTTAAGCGGCAGCTGGTTGAGGGATCCATCATCCAAGAAGTCGCCCATGGTGAGAGAACCGGGCTCCTCCCGCAAGAAGTCGATCTCGGGAGTCGCGCGGACGATCACGGTCGCGGGGCCCAACCCGTGGACGCGGGCGTTTCGGCGGCAGAGCGCGAAGAGATACGAGCGGCCCAGGGGTGTCTTCCCGAAATTCGGCTCTCCAATAAGCACGAGGGAGACGACCGGGTCCATGGTCTCCGACATGACGTTGAGCACCCACGGCTTGAAGTGCTCCTCCGCCAGAGTGATGCGCCACTCGAACTCCTTCTTCGCAAGCGCGCCCTCCGACGCGAGGCCGCTCAGAGCCTTCGCAACCAGGGCGACGGGCCAGCCGTGGAGGGGGGCGCCTTTGCGCAGCGCCTTCGTCTGCCATACCAGCTGCTTGAGATCGGCCGTGGAACGAGGCGCGTTCTTCAGGATGTACTCGAAGCCCGCGTTGATATCCTCGTCCGAGAGCTCGTAGAATTCGTTCACCTCGGCAGCCGTCTTGACGTCAGGCGACAAGAAAAAAAGCCCGAAATTGTTTCCCGCCAAAGCGCTCGAAGGCGCACTGCCAGACCTTGACCCCCACCTTTCGCGACCGAACGAGAAAGTGCTGGGGCGCAGCGGCGACCAAGTAGGTTGTCAGTTTCCCTGAGCGCGGGAACACATCCCAACCCTGAGCCGCAACGCCTTCGCCTTTTCCGTTTGGTCGCGCACCTTGGGGAGCTGGAACGAGCTTCTTCGCGCCCCCGAACGCCATGCTGGCGAATGTGACAGCCTTCGCCTTGTTGGGCAGGATGCAATGCTTGATGGTGTTATTCGTGCCGTTGGGGCCGCCGAAGATGCACATCTGCGTGGCCGCGTGGCTGGGCGGCGCCGACTTGAAGCCGAACGGCGGTGGGAGCTGGTGGTAGTCGTTGTCCTTCCACGCCGCCTTGTATTCCTCGTCCAGTTCGGGGGGGATCGGGCCTGCGTAACCAGTGATGAAATCGATGTAGTGAACGAGAGGGTTCTCGTTCTCCCCGACGTCGTTGGTGAGTGCAAGGAATGGCTCCAATTCGCCCTCGGGGAGAACGGCTGTCGCCTTGGGGGCAGGCAGAGGGCGGCAGAACCAACCCTCGGTCGCCGTCTTCGGGCCCTCGCACGCGGACACGCCACGCCCTGGAGCGACGCGGCAAGTTAGCCAGAGGGCGCAAACGCGTTGCTGATCTTGAGCCCAAAACAGCTACGATCTGAAGAATGCCGCATAACGCACACCGCTGCGCGAACGGTTCCTTGCGCCCGCTTGCACGGCGGCAGCCAAGTGCACATGAGAGGCGTCAACACCACAACGAGCGTCGCATCTCGCATCGGCCGTGCGCACCGCAATACCACTGTCACACTCAGCGCCTCCTTGCACCACAAAACCCCCACACACACACACACACACACACACACACACACACACACACACACACACACACACACACACACACACACACACACACACACCGCAGCGCCTGCGTGCACCACGGGGCCCGTGCGCTTTCAGTCCAGCAGCTGGCTTCCAGCACCTCAAGGTGCGCGACCGAACGCGTGCAGCTACGTGGCGCTGTTGTCGGGCGGCTTGCGGGTAACACAGTTTTGGGGTTATCCAACTGGCGGTTGCCTGCGTGGCGTCGTTGCCGCCGCCTTCGGTCCTGAGCGTTCATGCGGTAGAGAGGGGCATCAAAAAATGGATGCCCCTCGGCCATGACCACATTCCTCCGTTTCACCCCGTTGCCCTTTTTTCGCACGGAAGAAATCCGAGAAATTGCTGGTTCCGTTATGGATATTGTTGTGGTTCCGTGGGGGGAATCATGTGCCCCTTCCTGGGTTCCCTCCTGAGTCCCCTCCTGGGTTCCTTTTCTGGGTTCCCCTCCTGGGATCCCTCCTGGGTCCCTTTCGGAGATCTCTCCTGGGTCCCCTCCTGGGTCCCTCCTGGGTCCCCTGTGCCCCCTCCTGGGCCCCTCCTGGGCCCCCTCCTAGGCCCCTCCTGGGTCCCTCCTGGGTCCCCTCCCTTTCTGGGTTCCCTCCTGGGCCCCTCCTGGGTTCACCTCCTGGGTCCCTTCTTGGGTCCCTTCCTGGGTTCCCTGGTGGGTCTCCTCATGGGTTCCCTCCTGGGTTCCTTTGATGGGTGATCCTCCTCTCGTCCTCCTCTTCCCTTCCCCCCCCCCCCCCCCTCCTCTGCCCGCCCCGCCCCCCCCCCCCCCCCCCCCCCCCCTCTCTCCCCCCGCGTCCTCCTGCCCCTCCCCGCCCGCCGTCCGCCCCCCAAAGGGGGTGTGGGCAGCGAAACAACAAAAACCACAAACACCAAAGAAATCAAAAGACCGACGGCTGGAAAACCAAAAGAACGCAAGGAAAAACCAAAAACAACATACACAAACCAAAAAAACAAGACGCATTGTGAAGGAGGGCGGTGGGTGGGGGGGTGGGGCTGGTGGTGGTGGACGAAGTCTATATCTATATATCTATATATCTATATATCTATATATCTATATATATAAATATATATATATATATATTTATATATATATTTATATTTATGCTCGCCCCCCCCCCCCCCCCAATGATCTACCAAATGTCGCTTTGTAGCAAAAGGCGCGCAGTGAATCAGCGAAACCACTTCAAAATCGGAGCTGCGCTCGCAAAGTGAAGCCTCCGCCTCACCACTTCTCCCACCTTCATCGCTGCCACGGCCGCATCGCCTTAAATCAGCACCACACCAACATCATCATCGTCATGACCATCACGATTGCAAGCTGGCCTGCCAATACCACAACGTTGCCACTACCGTCACAAACAGCATCACCACCACCTCCTGGACCACCATGGTCTCCATCATTATCCACTCTGGGTCACCACTACGATGGTAATCGTAATCATCGCTGCCCTCTGGAACACCACAACCATCATGTATATTACGTCTACCACGACAGCGACCATCCTCACCATTAGCACCGTCGCAGTCTTCACCATGGCCACCACCTGGATTTCCATCTCTGCCATCCCCGTCTTCACCACTACAAGCTAACACCACTTTGATCACCTGCATCAAAATACCCTTCACTGGCTTCATTGCCGGCGCAACCAGTTCCACAGTCACCATGGTGGTGGTGGCAGTGGTGGTCCATATGATAGTGTTTGTGACGGCGATGGCAGCGCTGTGGTATTGACGGTCCAGCTTGCAATCGTTGGTATAATGCGAGGCGGCCGTGGCAACGATGACGGCGGTGGAGGCGGTCCAGGTGGCGGGGGGCGATGTTCACAATGGAGATGGCGGTGGTGGCGACGCCCTAGGTGTTTGTCACGATGGTGGTGGCGATAACGAGCATGACCGTGTTGTGGGATGATCATGGCGGTGGGCTTAGTGACGGCGCTTGAAACTATGAAGACGGTGGTGTTGCAGAATTGTTTACCTGGCTACTGGTGGATAGAATCGCGCTGATGATGATGGTGGTGGTCGTTGTTAGCCACGTGGTGGTAGCAATGATGGCCCATGTATTGTCGCAGCGCAGATGATGATGATGATGATTGTGGTGGCGAAGATGGTGGCAGTGGTCGACCAGGGTTCATTGTTGCTGATGCTACTAGCGACGATGACGATGCCAATTCTGATGATGGTATTGTGGAGCTGGTGGGCAGTCGGGTCTTGTTCATGCTGGTGGCGACGGTGGTCTAGGTGCTGGTGGTGATCGCGATGGTGGAAGTCCTGGTGTTTCTGAGGATTGTCATGATCGCCATGATGGTGGTGCTCATCACGGTCTTGGGTGTGGCGACGATACTGATGGTTGTGGCCAGTTTGTGGTCGCGATGATGATGGTGTCGGTGATGGTGATGATGTTGATGTGGTTGTCGGTGATGGATTAAAGCTAATGCAGTCGGTCCAACTGGTATTAGAGATAACGAGAATAATGTTGATGGTGGTGATGACGGCACTCTGGGAGGTGTTGGTGATGGTGGCGGGCGGGTAAGTTGCGAGGCTCGGAGAGAGTACAAAGGTCATGTTGAATCTCATTGAGGAGGGGGGAAGGATGACGGAGTACGACGTGGGCGAAGACGAGGACGAAGATCAGGAGGAGAAGAAGGAAGGCGGAATAGGATTAGTAGAAACGCCAAGAGTAATGTTGGGAGAAGGGAGGAGAATGAGTAAGGTTCACAACGGCCAGGCTCAGGGGAAGGATGAGGCTCAGGACCATGATAAGGAGGAGGATAGAGGACCATTAGGATCAGGGGAGCAAAATAGCAGACCAGGAGGAAACGGAGAAGTGTAGCAGACGAGAAGGCACGACACGTGCCGCATTCATCAACATTTCCATTATCATCTCAACTCGTACCGCAATCACTATGGTGACGGTAGTAATGCTGGCACACATGATATTGATTGTAACGTCACAGCGGGTTTGACGTGTTGGTAGCCCAGGTCGTAGACGTGATTGTCATAAACGCGATTATTATGATGGTGAGGGTATTGGGCCAGGTATGGTGGCGATGGTGACGGCCGAGGTGTTGGAAACGCTGCTTCCAGTGGAGTTGAGGCCGGTGGTAGTGATTATGGTCCCGGTGGTTGTTATGACGATGACAAAAATATCATCGGGGTGGGTGGGGTGGTAATGCTTGCGATGGTGACAGTGGCGATGTTACAGTTTTGTCTGCCCGGCTACTACTGCAGGTAGTCGTGATGATGATGGTGGCGGAAGTGTTTGGCCAGATGGCGTTGGCGGTGATGGCCCAGAGACGGGTTGCAGTGCAGATGATGGGTGTCTTGGCAAATGGTGGCGGTGGCGGACCAGGTGGCAGTGATGGTGGTGTACTGGCGATGATGACTACATATGCTAAACGGTTATGTCAGAGTTGTCGACTTCGTGGCCAGGTGGTAATGATGTGCGCATGGTATTGATGGTGGTAGCTGTGATGGTCCACTTGTCATGCTGCCAAATTGAGTTGTTGCCAGTGGTGGTGATCCAAATGGCGGTGATGACGATGATGACGATAAAGAGTGCTAAGGTGGTGGGCGGGCTTGATGTTGCTGGTAGTGATGGCGACGGTATTGGTGCGATGCTGCACGCCCAGCTACTAGTGGAGGTCATCGTGATGATACTGGTGTTAGCGGTTGACTAGGTGGTGTTCGTGGTGATGTCCCAGGGGCTGGTTGCGATACATATATGGTGGTGCCAGGTGGGAGTGATGATGGTGCAACTGAGGATGACGATGACGATGTTGATGCCACTGCACATGATGGTGTTGTGGTGTTGGTGGCCAGGAGGTAGTGGCATCATCGTGATAGTCATAGTGGTGGTAGTGATGGCCCCCATCTTGATAATAGTTCGATGGAGATGATGCCTGTGAAGATGTGGTGCCCCAGCTGGCGGTGATGTTGATGATGACAGTGACGACTATGATCTTGACTGCTGGTGCTAGTGGCGATGACGATGACGATGGCGACGGTGATGGTGACGCTGGAAGTCTAGGTGATGCTGTCGATCGCGATCATGGTGGTGGTCTTGGTGCTGCTGGGTATTCTGGTTATCGTGTTGATGGTCCTCGCGGTGGTGATGGTGGCGATGATGACATCAGTGGCACTGCAAGGTGAGCGCCAGGGGAGGCTAGCTATATGATGGCCCTAAGCGCCTACACCCATCCTCCCTCGCTCTCGCTCTTCCCCCCTCGCTCTCGATCTCATCTCCTGATCTGGGGATCACGCGTGACTCTTCCTGGCGCTGGTGTGTCTCTCTCTCTCTCTCTCTCTCTCTCTGCAGGAAACAGGGAGAGCGGGAGAACGGGAGGGCAGTGCAGTCTGTGGTAGCCCGGGCCCAGATTCCACCGCAGTCATCATCATCATCTTCATCATCATCATCAGCACCAGTATCGTCACCATCTTCACCGTCGTCATCGTCAGCGTCATCGTCATCGCCATCGTCACCGTCATCATCATCGTCATTCTCATCGCCACGATCGCCATCGTCACCATCATCATCCCCATGGCATCGGAACAATTGTAATCGTCATCATCGCCACCATCACCATCGGCACCATCATCATCATCAACACCGGCGTCATCATCATCATTAGCATAGGACAGCAGCGTAAGTAGAAGGCTGAACTAGGATTTGAAGAGAAGGATGGAAGTGGGGATGAGGCAAGGAGAGGATGGGAAGGATGATGAGGAGTATTACAGTCAATGAAAACTTACTATACCATTCCCTCCCCCTTCTGCTGATGGTCCTCCTCCTCCTCCTCCTCCTCATCCTCACCCCACCTCCTTCTCCTCCTCCTCACCCCTGCTCCTCCTCCTCCTCCTCCTGATTCCTAATCCGCCCCCTCCTATTCCGCCCCCTCCTCATCCGCCTCCTCCTCCTCATCCTCCTCCTCCTGCACCTCCTCCTCTACCAACTCCTCCTCCTCCTCTCTTCCTCATTATCCTCCGACTCCTTCGTTTCATATGCCTCCAACTCCTCCTGCGCCTCCTCCTCTCCAGATCATCAGACTCCTGCTTCTCATCATTCTCATCCGCCTCCTCTGCTTCATCGTCCTCGTCTTCGTCCTCCTCCTCATCCTCCTCTTCCTGCTCCTCCTACTTCTCCTCATCCTCATCTCCTCATCCTGCTCCTCCTCCTCCTCCTCCTCCTCCTCCTCCTCCTCCTCTCATCCTCATCCTCCTCCTCTACCTCTTCCTCGTTGCCCTTCCTCCTACATCTCCTCCTCCTCCTACCTCCATCCTCTCCGCCTCCTCATCCTGAGACTCCTCCATCTGCACCTCCTCCTCCGCATCACTTCGGGCCCTGAGCGGCAGAACAGGAGAATGGGAGAGTCAAGGAGCGGGGGAGCGGGAGAGCGGGAGAGCGGGAGGGCGGGAGAGCGGGACAGCGGGAGAGTGGGAGAGCGGGAGAGCGGGAGAGCGGGAGAGCGGGAGAGCGGGAGAGCGGGAGAGCGGGAGAGCGGGAGAGCGGGAGAGCGGGAGAGCGGGAGAGCGGGCAGCGGAGAGCGGGAGAGCGGGAGAGCGGGAGAGCGGGAGCGGGAGAGCGGGAGAGCGGGAGAGCGGGAGAGCGGGAGAGCGGGAGAGCGGGAGGTCGGCGAGAGCGGGAGAGCGGGAGAGCGGGAGAGCGGAAGAGCGGGGGAGCGGGAGAGCGGGAGAGCGGGAGAGCGGGAGGGCAAGAGAGCGGGAGAGCGGGAGAGCGGGGTCCGTCACCCGTCACCCGCACCCGGGCACGGGTGGCCGTTTTCTCGCTCTCCCGCTCTCCCGCTCTCCCGCCCTCCCGCTCGCCCGCTCTCCCGTTCTCCCGCTCTCCCGCTCTCCCGCTCCTCCCGCTCTCCCGCTCTTCCGCTCTCCCGCTCTCCCGCTCCCCCGGTCTCCCGGTCTCCCGCTCTCCCGCTCTCCCGCTCTCCCGCTCTCCCGCTCTTCCGCTGTCCCGCACTCTCGCCCTCCCGCACTCCCGCTCTCCCGCTCTCCCGCTCCCCCGCTCTCCCGCTCTCCCGCTCTCCCGCTCTCCCGCTCTCCCGCTCTCCCGCTCTCCCGCTCTCCCGCTCTCCCGCTCTCCCGCTCTCCCGCTCTCCCGCTCTCTCCCGCCCTCTCCCGCTCTCCCGCTCCCCGCTCTCCCCGCTCTCCCGCTCTCCCGCTCTCCCGCTCTCCCCCGCTCTCCCGCTCTCCCGCTCTCCCGCTCTCCCGCTCTCCCGCTCTCCCGCTCTCCCGCTCTCCCGCTGCCCCGCTCTCCCGCTCTCCCGCTGCCCCGCTCCCGCTCTCCCGCTCTCCCGCCGCCCATCGGCGACCGGGAAGGGTTTCCTCGTCCAATCGGCGACTGGAGAAGTTGGCAGAAGATCGGGAGAGCGGGAGAGCGGGGCAGCGGGAGAGCGGGAGAGCGGGAGAACGGGAGAGCGGGAGAGCGGGAGAGCGGGAGAGCGGGAGAGCGGGAGAGCGGGAGAGCGGGAGAGTGGGGGACCGGGGGAGCGGGAGACCGGGGGAGCGGGAGAGCGGGAGAGCGGAAGAGCGGGAGAGCGGGAGAGCGGGAGAGCGGGAGAACGGGAGAGCGGGAGAGCGGGAAAGCGGGAGAGCGGGAGAGCGGGGGAGCGGGAGAGCGGGAGAGCGGGAGAGCGGGAGAGCGGGAGAGTGGGGGAGCGGGAGAGCGGGAGAGCGGGAGAGCGGGAGAGCGGGAGAGCGGAAGAGCGAGAGAGCGGAGCATGCGGGATTTGCTTCATAGCAGGGCGGCCGCGGCCCCATGAAGAGAATCCCGCATGCTCCCCAGGAGCATGCGGGATTTGCTTCATAGGGGAGAGGCCGCGGCCCCATGAAGCGAATCCCGCATGCTCGGGGGGAACATGCGGGATTTGCTTCATAGCTCTTCCGCTCTCCCGCTCTCCCGCTCTCCCGCTCTCCCGCTCTCCCACTCTCCCGCTCTCCCGCTCTCCCGCTCTCCCGCTCTCCCGCTCTCCCGCTCTCCCGCTCTCTCGCTCTCCCGCTCTCCCGCTCTCCAGCTCCTCAACCCTCCCGCCTTCATGCTCCCTCGATTGTCTCCGAAAGCAAAGCTGCGTGCAATTACATCCGAAAGATTAACAGACGAGCGAGATGCCGCAAAGAGGCGTGAGGTAGATCATAGGGGGGGGGCGACCATATATATATATATATATATATATATATATATATATTATAATAAATATATATATATATATATATTCCGTGTGTTTTTTGCTTTTTCAAGCCGTCGGTCGTTGATTTGTTTGGTTTGTTTGGTTTGTCCTTGTGCTTTTGTGTTTTTTTTCGCTTCCCACATCCCTGTGTGGCGCTTTCCAATAAAATCACTTTGGTGCGGTTTCCAAATGATTCCTGCTGCGGGGCTTTCCATTGGAATCCCTTTGGAATGATTTCAAAAAGAGGCCCCGTTGTGAGGCTTTCCAATGGAATCTTTTGCGGCGACGACGACGAGGACGACGAGGGCGACGACGACGGCGACGAGGAGGGCGACGAGAAAGAGGAGTAAAGAAGAGAGGTATCGGGGCCCCCCTTTGGGTTGACCCCGACACCCTCCCTCGTCGACGTCGCTGCGAAGCAGGGCGGCTCTCGTTTTCGCGACGGGGATGCGAGGCGGGAATGTGATCATCGTTGATCAAGTGCTGAGCGCATGCAGGCCCTTTATAAGAGAGCAGGCCACCTGCCGAGTCGCGGCGCGCCCTAGCGCCGCCATGGAGAGCATCGTTCGTAGCCGCAGGGTCAGTGCTGCTTGTGGATCACCTGCCAGTTCCCTTTCCCGAGCAGTTGCCACGGGTCGCATGAATCGAGGAAAAACTTCGTGAACTCCCCCATGGCATTCAGGATCGGGGTCAAGCCAGGCGTGTTCTCGTAGAAGAGCTGGGACTGCGTGCGCATGCTCTCGTTGCGCTTCCCCAGGTAGCTGCGCCTGTGCAAGCTGCCCTTCGCGACGCCGATATTGGCCTCTGCCATGTTGGTCGAGGACCGCGTCAGGAGGTAGGACGTATTGGAGCCCCTCGTGCTCTTGGCGCTCTTCATGGGGCCCTTGGTGCGCTTGCCGGCCTCGGAGCTCTTCGCTGTCTTCATGGGGCCCTTCTTGCTCTTCATGGGGCCCTTGGCGCACATGGCGGCCGTGGAGTTCCTCCCGTTCTTCCTCATCTGCGCATGGCGCTTGGCGGCCATCTTGGTCAGGGCCGCCCCCGAGCTCTTGATCCCGATCTTCTCGGTCTTGGCGAACTGCTTAGCGCTGCGCTTGGTCCTCGCGTGCAGGATGCAAGCGGCCTGTGCCTTCTTCTTCTTCTAGATATGCGCGCCATCGGTGTTAAGCAGGCAGCGCTCCCGATCAATCTTTGCCATGGCAGGGGCGACGTCCTCGGCGCCCACGGGCGGAGGCGGCGCGCCCTCCTGCACGGCCGCGCCCTTCGCAGGGAAGACCACGCGCGTGCCAGTCGCGCAATCCACAACCATGATCCCGCGGCCCACGTGCACGTTCTGGGTGGCGCTGCCAGCGCGGCGGACCGAGCAAGCGAACGCGCCCATCTCCACCTCGCCAGTGGAATGCTCGAAGTTGTCGGCAGCTTGCATAGACTTCCACGCAGCGGCCTCCGCGATGCGCGGCATGAGCAGCTCGACCTTCTTCCTGGACGCGCCAGTCACGCGGTGAGTCTGCGCCTGGTCGAGCCCGCAACCAGTCGCCCAGATGCAGCTGTAGTAGTCCGCAGTCGTCGGGCTCGTGTTCAGCAGCGGTGTAAATGCCCACGCGCTCATGGTGCAACGGCACGATTTGACCCAGCATCTGAAGTCGCAGTTCTCCTGCTCAACCATGTCGTTTCCGCATCTCCAGCACGCGCGGTCGGTCTTGGGCGGGATGCACCCAGCCTCGCGCAAAGCACGGCCCACGTGCGCGTCGCTCATCACCGCCGCTTCGGCAAACGAGGGCATCTCCACGGAGAAAAGTTTGCTCTTGTGCGAGGTCGACACCAAGCGACCACCCTCCGGCACCGCCGGCGGCAAGTAGGGCACGCTGGACGCCTTCTTCTTGGGGGCCGCGGACGGCCTCTGCATGGGGGCTGCGGACGGCTTCCGCATGGTGGGCGCGGCGGCGGGCCTCTTGCGCGGCGCCCCCTTGCCCGCCCTGCGCACGCCCCTGCGCTTGGGCCGGGGCCCGTTTCCCATGGCGGCAGCGCGCGTCGCGCCCAGGGGCGGCGGGAGGTGGTGGAGGAAAAAGATGTTCAAACAGGTGAGCCAAAATGCTGCGGGCAATCGCACTTGCAACGGCGCGCGGGAGCTGCGCATAACAACCGCTGGCAATGGCGGCAGCGGCGGCTGGTTCGAACATGTCCATGGATGCGCGAGCAGGCGGGAAGGACGAGGGCGAAGCAAGAGGGGCAGCGACCAGCGCAACGGCGACGTCGGCGGCGCAATGACGACGACGACGACAGCGACGACGGAACAGGGGGCCAAAACGACTGGGCGACATTTTTCCGCTTCAGACAGGCACAATGGAAATGCATGGGTGTGCATGTGTGAGTCCAGAAACCGATATGTTCATAAGCGACCTGCTGAGGGGCACTGAGGGCCCATCTGGGGCGCGGCGGCATTCGCCCCCATCCGAGCGCGAGCGCGGCCGTCCGCTCACGAAGGAGTCGCCCCGAGGAAGTCCGCTGCGTCCGCCTCCTCACCCAGGTCAGGGCCAACGCCATCTGCGCCCGACGTCTGCGAGAGGTAGGCCTCAAGCTCGCCGCGGGCTGGGGCGGCGGGAGCAGACGACGAAGACGCCGCCACAGCCTGCCGCTTCGCGGGGGAAGGTGAGCTGTCGATATCGAGCGTCCCCGAGAAGGAAGCCAACGTCCTGAACCCCCTTGTCTCGGGAGGCCCCACTTCCCGCTTCGCCGCGATCTGGGCGCGCGGAGGGGCGGCCGTCGCCTTTGCCCTGGCTTTGAAGGCGTTGTCCACGAAGGTCTGTTCCTTCCGCAACAACTCTTCAATGTTTGGCGGCTCCGTGAGACCTCCCGTCTTCCACGGCCCGTGCAGCCGCTTGCCCTCTGCGGCTAAGTACTCGTCAAGGCCGCAGATCGACTTGCGCTGGACGTCGGCCTCTTGGGTCCCTGGGGCGCGCCAGCGCGCGTGATCCTTCGCGTTCACCAGGACCCCCCGCGCTTCATGAACGCCATGGCGCAAGCGCGGAGGCTGTCTCGTGGAAGGCCGGTCTGACGAGGTTGAAGAAGTCGTCGAACTTCACGGAAGGCCAACAGTCATTCTTCACCGCACTGGGGTCGTATTCCTAATCACCGATGGCACGCTGCTCGCCCTTGACCCACTTGGTGGCCCCCAACGCGCCCAGCGCATGGACTCGAACTGGCCGACGCCCATCAGTGCCTTGACCATTTTAGACGGCAGCTGGTTGAGGGATCCATCATCCAAGAAGTCGCCCATGGTGAGAGAACTGGGCTCCCCCCGCAAGAAGTCGATCTTGGGAGTCACACGGACGCTCGCGGTCGCGGGGTGCAACCCGTGGACGCGGGCGCTTCGGCGGCAGGGCGCGAAGAGATACGAGCGGCCCAGGGGTGTCTTCCCGAAATTCGGCTCTCAAATGAGCACGATGGAGCCGGGCGGGCCCATGATCTCCGACATCGCGTTGAGCACCCACGGCTTGAAGTGCCCCTCCGCCAGAGCGATGCGCCACTCGAACTTCTCCTTCGCAAGCGCGCCCTCCGACGCGCGGCCGCTCAGAGCCTTCGCAACCAGGGCGACGGGCCAGCCGTGGAGGGGGGCGCCTTTGCGCAGCGCCTTCGTCTGCCATACTAGCTGCTTGAGATCGGCCGTGGAACGAGGCGCGTTCTTCAGGATGTACTCGAAGCCCGCGTTGATATCCTCGTCCGAGGGCTCGTAGAATTCGTTCACCCTGGCAGCCGTCTTGACGTCAGGCGACAAGAAAAAAACCTGAAATTGATTCCCGCCAAAGCGCTCGAAGGCGCACTGCCAGACCTTGACCGCCACCTTGCGCGACCGAACGAGAAAGTGCTGGGCGGCAGCGGCGACCAAGTAGGTCGTCAGTTTCCCTGGGCGCGGGAAAACATCCCAACCCTGAGCCGCAACGCCTTCGCCTTTTTCGCTTGGTCGCGCACCTTGGGGTGCTGGAACGAGCTTCTTCACGCCCCCGAGCGCCATGCTGGCGAATGTGGCAGCCTTCGCCTTGTTGGGCAGGATGCAATGCTTGATGACGTTATTCGTGCCGTCGGGGCCGTCGAAGATGCACATCTGCATGGTCATGTGGCTGGGTGGCGCCGACTTGAAGCCGAACGGCGGTGGGAGCTGGTGGTAGTCGTTGTCCTTCCACGCCGCCTTGTATTTCTCGCCCAGTTCGGGGGGAATCGGGTCTGCGTAACCAGCGATGGAATCGATGTAGTGAACGAGAGGGTTCTCGTTCTCCCCGGCGTCGTTGGCGAGTTCAAGGAATGGCTCCAATTCGCCCTTGGGGAGAACGGCCGTCACCATGGGGGCAGGCAGAGGGCGGCAGAACCAACCCTCGGTCGCCGTCTCCAGGTCCTCGCACGCGGACATGTCACGCCCTGGAGCGACGCGGCAAGTTAGCCAGAGGGCGCAAACGCGTTGCTGATCTTGAGCCCAAAACAGCTACGATCTGAGAAATGCCGCATACCGCACACCGCTGCGCGAACGGCCCCTTGCGCCCGCTTGCGCGGCAGCGGCCAAGTGCACATGAGAGACGTCAACGCCACAACGAGTGT